GTCGAGTATTTTTATTTGATAAGCCTGCCATCCTGGCCAGGGGCTCTGGGAGAGGCAAAGCTGAGCCCACCATCATCCCCCGAAACTTGCTGTTCAGCTGGTCTCAGTCTCAGGGATGGCTGTGCTGTCCCTCCCTCCCACACTCCAGAGCCTCCAGCCAGAGGCTCAAGTCAACCTCACCTTCTGAACCATAGCCTGTTCACTCTCCCTCTGCAGTCTCTGTCCCATCTGCCCCTACGACCTGCACCCTGTGCCATGGGACATGAGCTCCCACCTGCCCACACTACTGCTCTTCCTTGCTTAGCTGTGCTTTCCCAAAAGCTTTCTGTTCTCTCAGGACCCCAGACATGGCCCACGGCCCCAACCTGAGTCAGGTCCTGTCCCTCCTCTGCCCTCAGCCTTCTAGTGCTCCCATCTCTGCCACAGACCTCTAGCACTCCCATCTTCCTCAGGGAAGAAGCCTAAGTCCTCCCCACTCCCCCAAGGCCCCGTAGGACCTGCCCCATCCCCTCCCTGCCCTCACCTCCTCCCTCTCTTCCCTTTACTCACTCAGCTCCAGCCACACAGGCTTCCTCACTGTTCTTCCAACAGCCAGGCACAGTTCTACCCCAGAGCCTTTGCACCAGCTGTTACTGATGTACACCTCCTCCAGAGAGCCACACAGTTCGTTCAACGGCCTCCCTCCTGAAGGTCTCAATTCAAACATCACCTCCTCAGTAAGGTCTCCCTTGTTCCCCTTATTTAAAATTGCAAACCACCCTGGCTCCCCGTCCTCCTGTCCTGCTGTAGCTTTCTCCACAGCTCACACCACCTTCCGATAGACTAAATAATGTGTACTTTGTAGTTTTGTATCTGGTCCATCTGCCTCCAAGAGGGCAGGGATTTTTCTCTTCCTGGTTCACTGCCATATCCCCAGAAGAGCACACAGGAGACACTTAATAAATACTTCCTATAAGACGCAACATTACGGTGTCTGGGATGTGTCCTCCTACACCCCCTTCCACCTTTCTAAGTACTACCTTTTCTTCAAGACTCACCTGAAAAAGGTGGGCTTGTCTTCTATATCCACAGGGCAGCCCAAGAGATCTTTTGAATGCTCCAAACTGCCCTTGCTGCCCTTGCTCCAGAATCCTCTGTGGCTACCCAGTGCCCTCAGGACTCTGTCAGTCTGGCCCTGCCAACCTAACTCTAACTCCATCTCTCCTCCCTGACACCCCTGCCCCCACCACATTCTACCCTCCAACCTCACTCTGCACCTTCACACTCTGTTCTCTCTGCCTAGAACTGCTCTCCAATACCTTCATCTGCCTGACCCCTATTCATCTCTCAGGCCTCAGCTTAGAGTCACCTCCTCTTGGAAACCTTCCAAGACCTCCCACCCCAACCCAGCTGGGTCCAGCCCCTCCTCTGGGCTGTGCACCATGCCTGTGCACCCCCATCACAGCCCCTGATCACCCCCTATTTTATCCACCTGGTCACTAGAGCCAACTCACCCATCAGACATAGGAGACCCAGGTCCTGCAACACTTTTAGGGATGTACAAAATTGTTTTATTTTAATTTCTCTGAAAATCAGGAGAGAAAAATTCATAAATACCAACGCAGTTGTAAAAGGTAAGTTGTAATATTTTTTCATGGAGGGAGGGACCTGTTCTGGCAAAAATGCCTTGGGCCTATGAAGATTTTAATGTGGTCCTGCTGGTCCCATGTGTGTCTCCCCACTGAACTATGAGTGCCGGGAAGGTGGTGTTGGAGATTGGGTCCCAAGGCTGGCCAGCAAGGGTCTGGCACACAGCAGGTGTTTAATAATTGTTTGTTGAATGGATGAAAATCCAGTGATTGCTGGGTCCTCAAGGCCAGGCCTGGCATGGCTCACACATATAGAAGATGCTTGATAAATGGATGGATGGACAGAGGGAAGGGTCAGAGGGCAGAGAGTATACCTGGACCAGGCAAAGACCAATCTGCGACCAGCAGCGCCACCTTGTGGCACAATGCTGACCTGCTTCTCCCTCCACTACAATAGAAAAGAAGGAAGTTTTCAGAGTCCCCCCACTGGAAGGGGGTGGAGTGGAGGAAGAAGAGGAGGAGGAGGGGAGGAACAGAAGAGGGGGAATGAGGAAGATGGGCAGGAGGGGAGAGGAGGCAAAGGTGGCAGCAGGAAGAAATCTAAGGAACAGAGACTTTGAAGATAGACAACTCTGGGTCCAAATCCCTTGGCTGCCCATTTCTGGCTGTGTGATGGGGGTATGACATCACCTCTGATCCTCAGCTTCCTCATCAGGAAAGTTGGGGGGAAAAAAAAATCAGGCCTCTGAACAATGTGATGAAATAGTTCAGAAAACAGCAGCTATTTCTTACCTCCACCTTGGGGCTCCTAGACAGGTGTTGTCCTCGAGGAGCCCCCCAAGGCTGAGAGGTGAGAGATTTTCCATGAAGACATGGCTGGGGCAGAGAAAGGGAAATGGGTTTGGGGGGTAGAGTTGTCAGATTTAGCAAAACCAGCAAAGTGAAAAGAATGCCCAGCTCCATTTGAATTTCAGGTCAACAATGAATAATTTTTGAGCTTTAGTATATCCCAAATATCACATGTGATATACTTATACCCCCCAAATGTATTCATTGTTGACCTGAAATTCAAAGTGAACTGGGCATTCTATATCTCATCTGGCAACCCTAGCATGGAGGAGACTGGGGAGGCAGGCAGGAAGGCTTCCAGGAGGAGGGGGCAGTGGTCGTGGAAAGGGAGTGGCTGGTCTGCGCTTTCCTTCCCCTCCACCCACGTGTCCACAAGCTCAATGGCAAATGCCCTTGACTTCGATCACTGGAGACTGGAGGGTGGGGGTTGATCTCCACCCCAGGGAAGGAAATGAACGTGACTCTTCTCCTTTTGTTCAGATGTGGGGCAAAATCACTAGGACTTATTTTCCAAGTCAGAATTGGATTACATCCCCTTGACCAGGAATATTTTGGCCATGTCCCAGCACAGAAGGCCACATGGAAGCTGAAGACTACCAAGCATATCTCCTAGTGATTTTAGAGCTGTGTGACTTTGGATAAGTCACTTCACCTCTCTAAGCATTATAAATCCCCCAACCCCTTCTCTTCCAGCTCTCCCCCTCCTTCTCCAGACACATTGGCTTCTTGGCTGCACCTCCAACACGCCAGACATGGCCCAGCCTCAGAGCCTTTGCACATGCTGTTCCCTTCATCAGAAACACTCTTCCCAGATCTTTACATGGCTCCCTCCTCTCCTCCGACTTCGGTGTTCAAATGGCACTCAGAAAGGCCTCCCTAACCATCCTATTAAAAGTGGAGCCCCAGCCTGGCTGCTTGAGCATTGACCCATGAACAAGGAAGTCACAGTTGGGCTACCGGTCAGGGCACATGCTCAGGTTGTGGGCTGGATTCCCCAGTAGGGGTCATGCAGGAGGCAGCCAATCAATGACTCTCTTATCATAGATGTTTCTATGTCCCTCTCTCTTTCTCTCTCTGAAATCAATAAAAATATTTCTTTAAAAAAAGAAAATAAGTGGAGCCCCAACATTATGGATCTCAGTCATTTGCTTTTCACAGTAGCACGTAACACTGCCTGACCTATTACACATTTTACTCACTTTTGTTTACTGTCCGTCTCTCTCACTGGGTGGTGAGCGCCATAAGGCCAGGATCTGTTTTACTGACAGCTGTGTCCCCAGCACTCAGCACAGCGGCTCAAGAAAAACTGTTGAGTGAAAGAATGAACAAGTAGAAAAAAGTGGATGCAAGCAAATGAGAAGTTTGTATCTGTTATAGTTTATTGCTTAAATCATTCTGGGGTCTCAGACTCCCTTGCAAATCTGACTAGCTACACGTGGTGACTTAAATGTGAATATTCAGTGTTTCGGTGTGCAACAACCATATGGCACTAGAGGCCACCATATTCAATGAGGCAGAGTTCTAGAACATTCCTAATATCTCAGACAGTTCTATTGCATAGTGTGAGTGTACAACCTCTCAATAAAATGCACTTAATCATATAGATACCCAATTTTTTCCATGTTTTTTTCTGGAGGTTCCAGAAGTCTCACCTCAACCCATATAATTTAGCAGAGGTGGCAAACTTGTGGCCATGACTGGGTTTTATTTAGTCCAATAGTTTTCTAAGAGGCAGGACAGTGCTCCTACAGTCTGGAACTCCTGTGGATCTACGAATGGCTGAGTGGTTCTCCACAGGGCAATGTTCCGCCCTGTCTAGGCAGGGCATGCTGCCACCCCATTTACCTTCTGCTGGCCCCTGGGGACATCTGGGTTTGAGGCCTTGGTTTATACACCAAGAGGATAGATGTTAGTTTTTTGGGAGAGGGAAAAAAAAAATCCAAGTGGGTGTCGCTTCAGGAAGGGGTTGATCCAGGAGTCAGATTCAGGAGTTGCTCACTGCACTGCCCTAGGTGGGCAGTCTCTGAGCCTCAGTTTTCTCTACTGTAAAATGGGGATAACGGGACACAGGCGATGGAGAATTAAGTGGGCCTACACAGGTCAGGGAGGGCAGAAGGCACTGGATATCTCTTCACCCCTGTGGTTAAAGCTATTCATAATGCTGGGTGGGGTTTGGCTCCCTCACCCTTGTGCCCACGGTGGAGATATGGTCCCTGACTCACCCAGTTCTTACAGCCTCGGTTTGGCCACTGGAGAAAAGGGAGCCCGGGGGACCCCAGGATCGCGCTCACCTCCCAGGGCCAAGCTCATGGGGTGGGGCTGGGGCGCCCTTGGCCGGATCCCGTGTCGTATTGAGTCTCCTCCAAACCTGGGCACCAGGCAGAGGGCGGGCGCCCGCTTCCAGCTGCCCCCAGCTCCCCGCCAAGTCCGGCCCTTCCTGGACTTCACTAGCGGCTCCAAGGTCCCGGGACGGAGGGGGCGTGGCCTGGAGGCCCCCAGGCGGATTGGCCCTTGGGACCGTCACTCCCGGGCGCCCGCCCCCGTATAAAGGCCCTCCCCGGGCCGGCCCGAGAAGGTTTGGGAGCTCTCCTCAAAGTCGCGGTCCCCGCGCCCCGGACGTCCCGCTGGCCGCGGTGAGAGGCGGGGTGCCCGCTTGAGGTGGGAGACGGGGCCCGCCGAGTGCCGGGGCGCCGCAGGGCTGGAAGCAGCGGGGAGGGCCT